AAACATATATAATATAACAAAATACTCTTTCTTCCCAATTTCAAGTTCACTAAATTGTGATGACAACATATTTATAAAAAAGTCATACTAAGGAATATTAAGCAAGCATACCCCTGAACTTAGTCGATGCTACAGCAGAAAGAAGCACCTTCAATACTTGAAGAGTAGTGCTGCATTTCATTTTCTCAGGAGTTACATTCAGTAAATACCAAACAAATAAAGAAAAAAGTATCAATGTCCAATGTGCTGGGGTGTCTACAGTATACCTGTCAGGTGATGAATTATCTGCACAACTGCAGACCATGTTGAGAATATCAGTGAACAATTGCGCATTTTTAGCACCATCTAGACCAGGATCACCCTCGAGGTGATTGTATCCAATGAGTTTCTGTTTTCGAAAATTAAGCAGATTAGATTGAGATAAATTATGTTTAAGATTCATAAAATAAAAGTTCATAGGCACTTTAAATGAGCATCTAGCCTGGTACAAGCAGTTATGTCATCATTAAAATATTCAAATCCAGTATGGTACATAATTTTGTGTTCATGAGCATGAAGTGCGATGTTTCTAACTTAATGGTTTGAAAAGCAAAATCATTTTCCCCTCCCCATTTCATTAGATAGGTAAAACGTCCTTGACATTCATGGAGGTGCAATCACACACGCAAGGAATACACAGTAACGAGAAAAAGCTGTATGAATTACAAAATATCAACTTTCTGATGCCAAATGTTAAAAGTAACTGAAAAATGTCTTCTGCAAAATAATTTTTAAAGCTGAATATCAGTGACCAAAACAAGAACCTACATGAAGGCAATCAAGTGCAAGCTCCACGACTTTAATGTTCTTGGTCTCAAATGCAATTCGAAGTGGATTCAGGACAAGCTCAGCCTGAGCTCCTCCTAAAGTATGCCCTGCACTTGCTAAGGCTGTCGTGATAGATTCACTACTGTCTGTAGGCAGGGTAGCAGATTCCACCTCCTCAGCAGCAGCTGGAGCATTGTTAGATTGATCTGATTCCGTCGCAGCTTTTTCAGCTCCAGCATCAGTTGCAGGCAAATTGCTGAAAGAAATGTGTTCCAAAAAAATTGAAACTACCAAAGATAAAGGAGAAGTACTGGAATACTGTAAACAAAGAGACTTGCACGGTAGAGATCAAAACTAATACTACTTTCCATAGCATCGCCATCCACCGTTTATCATGAAAAAATGGTGAATATGATTGAAAATAATCAGAGACACATGGATCCATGGACACTAGTAATGGGTTTGAAAAATTGACCAAAGGGCAGCAAATAGCTGGAACAGAGATTTGGCACGAAAGAAGATTAGAAAACTACAAAGTTACATATGCAGTACGCACCTTGTCGCTTCAACTGAGGATGCTGCTTGGTTGGATTCACCAGAATTAGATTGCTGACTGTTGTCCTTTGCACTGTCTGGAGATGTAGAGACATAAATACTACTTCCGTTAAATCCACTAATAAAATTCGATAAATAGGAAGCAATCACGGAATTCACCTAAAAGCAAACAAACAAGTAAAGCACGAATGACAACAAAATTTTGCCATGTATGTCACTTGG